AGGCCCTGTACAGGCTCTTGGTAAATGCATTGAGGAAATTAATGACTGGTTGTGCCACAATTTTCTCCAGCTAAACAAAAACAAACTGAGTTAATAGTCTTTGGTGCCAAAGAAAAACGATTACAGGTCACTAGAGAACTTCAATCTCTACACCTGAAAACCACAAACCAGGCGAGAAATTTGGGTGTAGTGATGGATGCAGATTATTATATCTACTGTTCATTCCTTTTTTCTTTTTTTTCTTTCTTTCAATTTTAAATCATGCTTTTTATTTGTTTTTGTTTTTTAATGTCTCTGTAAATCACTTTGAATCACCTTGCTGTTGAATTGTGCTACATAAATAAACTTGCCTTATGTCTGGTTTTCTTGTACTTATGAGTTCTTATGAGATCGTTTAGTTTCTGTATAGTTTGTAGCTCTGAGGTTCTCCGTTCTTCTTTGATCATGCTTAGAGTGCTTCGAGTATCCTTCAGTTCTTAGACTCCTGAACTCTGCCTCCTGACATCTGACTCACATTAAACTCGTGGACTGAACATACACAAACCCACAACCACCTACACACACAATGGAAAAAAACAATGAACAACCGTACCCTCATACACACAATAATAGCACGGACTGAACCACCACTCACAACCACTAGCACTTTATATAGCCTCTGTAAAATTATCCACATATTTATCTTAGCTGCACTACTGTAAATGCTGTATAGACAATCATTCTGTATAATACAATAATTACAATTCTAAAACAGTTAACAACTGTTTATAACTTGCATAGTTCAGATTTCTATATAGTTTTTCATATTTATATCCTGTTCATAGCCTGTACATACTTATAGTTATAGAATATTCATAACATACTTCATACCGTGTACATTATAACATACCATAATAGACCCATTTCTGTAATATACTCACATATCTATATTATTGCTAATATATATTGTAATATATCTATATCACTAAAGCACTTCTGGATGGATGCAACAACCGATATATATGGAGTGACTGCCTCATCTTCTCTCCCTCTCCTGTTGCTATGAAACTGATCAATGATCAGCTGATCGGCTTTTCTCTCTTGTTTGTTCATCGCCCACTTTGCGCCAGAAAGAAGAAACCAGCAGATAAACAACAGCAGCACATTTAAGCTTGATAGGCTGTTGTTAGAATTGATTTAATATTAATTTCTATTATCAGCTGATGTTTGCTGGAGCCACAGCACCCTCTCACCAGATGTCAGTTTGGTTATCTGGTGAACGGGAAACATGAAGAGGAAACCAGGAGATGTCCTTACTGAATCATCAGAGCTGAACAGGTGATGGAGAAACAGGTTTACCTTTTAGGTGACATTAATGAGTTGAAGGGAAGTTTTGAATTGTGTGTAAGAGACAAATAACACCAGGATCCTTTTCTACGTAACTGACAGCTACGTGTGCAGGGGCGGGTCTAGCAAGGTTTAGCCAGGGGGGCAGGTAGATCATTAACAGGGAGAGGGGGGCACAAAGAAATACTTTTCTGTCTTATTCTTATTTAAAATGTCTCGCTTTTAATAAATAATTATCTGAATCTTACAACCAAAGTTTTTTATTAAATGTAAAATGTATAGAAATCCATTATAGTATATAGTAACTAAGTCTAATAGATAACCCAGTAATAGTAGTACCTGTAGAACGTTTTCCTTTGGGAAGGTACCATCTGTACATGTTGAATCTATTTAATTATTGTAGAAAAATAATTGATTTCTGTAGAGTTGTTTTACATGTGCATTAAATCAAAGTCAATTATGTCGATTAAGCATCATGAGGGGGAGGGTGGGGGGTGTTCCATAATATTTTTGCTGGGA